TCTGTAGCTCAGTCGAAAGAGCGTTCACCTAGAAAGCGTTGTATTACGAATCCAGTTCGAAAAGAAATATTCACACAAAAATAATCACAAATATATAGCAATAAAAAATAAAATTTAAATTAAACATATAAAAAAAATTTCCCTCATCTCTAAATCATTATTTTTTTTTTGCAGTAACTCAACCACACTTTATGTTGCAATAAAATATTGGAACAAGACTTGCTAAGACTATAAAAAATTAAATTTTTTTGTTTTTAATTTCATATTATGATTCCATAAAATTTAATTAATTTCCAATAAAATTTTGCTATTTTATTTACCATTTCTATACCAATATTTTTAATAATCGTAATGAATTGCCAACCACAGGATATTTTTTTTTCAACTTAAAATTTATAACTTTTTGTTTTTCAAAATAAATTTTTATTTTTTTTTTTTTTTGTAAATTTATTTAAATTATTTAGTGGATTTATAATTATCGTAAATATTTTGTTTGTAAACGCAATTAATTAAAGCACTATACAGGATGTGACGAATAAGGTGTGCAATATAAGGGATGATTATTTGATCAATTTCTCGCAAAATCATTCTTTGCGTGGGGTGAGGGGACTTTGGGGGGTTGTTCCAAGCTCTGGATGGTTTCTCAATATCGTATGATTCCAAAGCTAGAATCTGTACTTTTTTTTTCTAACAGTCTGTAACTCGAAAACGAGTATATCTGCACCCCACCCAATATTTACAATTTTTTACTGGGAATTAAATTAAAGAATCATCCCTGAAATTATTTTGAATCATTCTGAAATTATTCGAAACACCCTGTATACAATTTTCAACAAAAAAATTATAAAAAATTTTAAAGGATTTATTTTTTTTACTGAATCATTAGCACGTTATTTAAAGTTATTGCCATCAAAATTGAGTAAAGTTATTGAGAATAAAAAGAAAATTTTTAATTTTTTTTTAAAATGCTAAGGGAATGAATTTTAAAATGAACATTTTATGAATAAATTTTCAGAAAAAATTCACTTTGTGATGCAAATTAATTAGTATTGTATGACAATTTTTGCAGATTGCCAAATAGAGGGTAATTTGTACAAAAAATTTTTGGAAAATTATTATTGTAAACATTGTAGTCATCATACATTCTAGATTATTTCGAATGGCGTTTTTTTTCACAATTACATAATAAAGACACTTCGGAATTGAAATGGAAATTGCTTATCAGAATAAAAAATTTCATAATAACAAATTAATAAAAATTAATAAAATTGCATACTTTTAGGGTAATATTTAAAAGTATAGAATACATGCATATCACAAAATAGTCATGGTTGTATTACGATACGTAATATTTAAAGTAAGCGTAAATTGAAGAAACTCTCAGATTTTAAAGCGAATAGTTTTGTAACCATATAAGGGAAATCATATTGGAACATTGTAATAGAGAAAAATATTTAAAATTCAAAACCCAGCCTTTGAAATTGAATAAGTGCAGGTTCAAACAGGGCGAATTACAATATCACAATTATTTTCCTCCATTTATAAAAGAAATTACTCAAACTCTTTTGACAAAATTTATGTAGAATTGAAAAAATATTAAAGCTATATAAAAAAATCCTGTGACAAAATTCAAATTTAATATTTCATGTGTCAGGAATTTCATTTCAATTCCTTAAAATATTCTTTTTTAATTTTATTTGAATATCAAAATATTTTATATATTTCCGATACACCCTTATATACATTTATAAATATTTAAACAATTTAATAAAATTGATTTGAACAATATTTTCTTATAAAAAAGGGAACAAAATATTGTAGGTATCTATATGTATACCAACCATTATACAAGTCTTATCAAGATTCCTGAACTTGACCCAAATCATAATTTTTATTTTTTTTTTCTAAGAGATTTTCTATTTTCCATAACTAATATTAAAATTTTTATATACATATAATATGTGTATACAAAATATGTATAACACTTTATTTTTGTAATCTAGAAATCAACAACTCCATTTTCAAATAAAAGAAAAATTGAAAATATTTTCACCGTTCTTTTTCTTTTCTTTTCTTTATATAAAGTAAAAGTAAACCAAGGCTCCATTTTTTTGTCTATATATGAAATCCAGTGAAATCCAGAATAATCAAATATAACATTCGGAATATGGCCGGAAGTCCTTTAAATTTCTTAAATGTGTTATATATAATATATACAAATAAATTTCCTGTTGTGAAAAGGATAAGTAATAATAATATAAGAAAAAGAAAAGAAATATTATAACAGTAAAAAACATACTTATTGAAAAGATGAGAAACGATTTTAGAATTCGTAAACTATAAAAAAAAAAAATAACAAAGAAAAGGAAAAATATAAAATTCCAAAATTGTGAAGATGTACGTATAACAATGCCAAAGGTATAACTTTTCAAATATATTTCCGAATTCCGTTTTTTTTTTAGGTTACGTATTATTTTCCATATACACACACCAAACAATAGCCAAGAAAGCCAGAACAAAAAAAAAAAAATACCTTTAAGCACCTCAAACTCCTTTAGGAAAATATTTACCTTTATTTTTTTTCGGTTCTGTTTCTATATTTTGAGGCACTTTCATATTTTTATGACTAAACAACCAAACCAGAACAAAGTAAACCAAAAAAAAAAAAGATATGATTGCTCATAATAAGTGGATATGAAATAAGAACAAGGTAAGTAAAATATGAAAAAATTTCCATTAGGACATTTTTCATGATGACTAAAAATAATTTTTTTGGAGAAAAATTGAATTCTTATAATAGAATAATCTAATGAAATAAAAAATGTAAGATAGGAATTACTTTTGAAATAAAATAAATCCGACATTTAAAACTGAGTTTAGAAACCTAGGAAAGATTTCGGAGTAAAAGGAAATAAATGCGGGGTAAAAAATATTTAGAATTTTTTAAAAGAATTCAAAGCTAAAAATTTGAGTAGACATAATAAGGAAAGCACAAAAATCACTAGATTTGCATTCAAAAATTCGGAAACGAAAATTTGAAATTTAATTAATTGCCGGAGTTAACGAAAAAGCTTTAAAATTATAACGTCTACTTAGATATATGCAATAGTAGATATATTTCATAAGAAAAAAAAATTATCTTCTAAAATAACATTACATTCATCATATTTTCAATACTCCGAAATTCGGAATTAAAAATTCGGAGTAAAAAAATTTCGGAGTCGTAAATAATACGAGTTTCGGAGTGATCATTTAGATTCAAAATTTAAGTCGAAAAAAAAACAAACTATTGAAACTATATTAAATTCGTTTTTTAAATAGAAGAATCAGAGGTAGATTCAAAACAAAAATTTTAGAATTGAAATTAAATTTGAGTCGGAATTAAATTCGGATACAAAATCTCTGCTTTGAAAATTTGAAGGAATCAGAACTCCTTAAGATTGTGAGAGAAAATAATTTTACATACTGTTCAATTTGATTTTTGTGGAGCCAAAAATTTCCCATTACAAAACCAAAAATTATTTTACAGTGATTTTACTGTTATAACAAATTCCCAAGATATTATAATATAGGATCATGTATTAATAATCTTACATTGTACTTTTTAACTTGACCAACAGATGGACCAACAGTTTACAATTTAAAATAGAATATTCGCATAATAACAATGATATTTTATTAGGAAATTGTTTGAAAAATATGAAAGTGAACAATACAAACAAATAAAAAGGATATGAAAATTTTTTTTTTGTCTTCCTGTTTGTTTTTTTTTTCTTGTTATATTTATTTTTCTAAAAATGTTCTGGTTTTCATTTTTAATATTCTTATAATATTTATTTTACATTTTTTTTTTCTTTTGTATGTGTTCGGTCAAAGCAAAACAACTTACCACAATATGCAAACAAACATTAAAAAAAAAAGAATTGGTAAAAAAAAACATTTTTAAAGGCGACGAAAAAGGGAAAAAAAAAATTTCCCCTTTTTTTTATGTTTCTTAATTTTTCTTTGTTAACGTTTTTTATTGTATAGTTAAAACCGAACAACGACAACAATAACAATAAAAAAAAATTATGAATGCTATCAGGACGATGACGGAAATGTAGGAGGAATTTCGGTACAAAATACAATAATGAAGTGATAAAAAAAAGAAACAAAAATAAATAAAACCCTTAAAAAATATAATAAATATTTTAATAGCCCGGTGTTAAAGGTAACATCCTCCGAAAAGGAAATGAAACAATTACTGTAATTTTCCAAAAAAAATAAAAAAATGCCAGAGTGAAAAAAAGAAAATACCACAATATTTTTTTTTTTTTTGTTTAAAAGGTAAATTTGAAAAGGTGTGAACAAAACTGGAATTAAAAAAAAATATATAAGAAGAAACGTTTAGTAAATAACAACAATAAAAATAAACAAGAGAATTTGAAGCTTAGAATGCTTGTATAGTGACCCCACTTTTGTATAATTTAGTTCCATAGAATTTTCATATTGAGTTAAATGAACTTATGAAAATTGTTATTAAAATCATAATCTTGATCTTAATTTTTGAAATTATTCTCAACTTAATTGGCTCTAATAACAAGAAAGACTAGGAAACTCTTATTGTAATAGAGATTAAGTAAAAGGTCTTATAAATATCGCATGAGATTTTTTTGTAACATTTTCATTGAGATTTTTAATTTTTAAATTAAGTTTCTTGTAATAATATTTCCTCAACTTAATTCTTCAATATCGAGAAAATCAATGAGGCCGATATAGACTTGAACTTTTTTTCAAAGCATATTGACCAGATTTTTTACATTTCTGCTCTATCTCTTCCCTATTCTGGCATACTGGCGTTGACAGTGAAACTCTTTTTGCCCGAAAATAAAAACTCTCATGCTTTAACTAAGTTAGCTAGCGATTTAATTAAAATTTTAATGATAGCTAGAAATATTTTCAAATTTATTATAACTTTGCCATATTCATCCTAGATGTATGCAATATTACATTCTAATTACATAATATTATTATCACTCACGGAGTACGTCATTTTCATTACTAATACCTTATAATCTATTAAAATATAAATTTAAGATATAAAATGGCAAATGGAAGACATTTTTTAAATTATTAATATAATCGACTACATACTTATTAATCACCTTAATGTACCTTATAATTTTATTCAATTCAATTAGATCCGTAAACCAAAATTTTTAAAACAAATTACGTTTAGGTTTAGTTTGAGGCGGTCATGCGAGGATACACTTAGGCCAATTAGGCCCTATGCAACACCGATGCATCTCCAATCACATTCTCATTTACACTGCGGCATCCCATAATTTCCATTAATTTTAACATAATTTCCATAACATTCCCCATAATTTCCGTAATTTGAAAAAAAAAGAAATTCGCCTAAGGTAGCTCCGCCTTTCCCTTGTCAAATCTTCCTCTTAATCGTCACAGGCAATCAGACAGTGCCTAGTTAAAGCTTCTATGATAGCTCCAATTTCACTCCAAGGGAATGCAAAACAACTAACAATTTAATTTTAAAACAAATCTTCTGTGAATGATCATTATTTATTTTACACACAATTAATGTTTTCTTACAATATTTGTTTACAATAATTATGAAAATTAATAAAATTAATTAACAAAACAAAAAAATTTAATTATTACAAAATAATATTTCAAATACAAATATTAAAAAACTTATACCCCAACCGATCCATAATAAATGAAATGCACTCTGTAATATTTCTAATGTTAAAACAATTTTCAATGGTTGATTTAATTTTGATTTATTAATTAAATCACTATTTGCTTTTAAATTACCATTACCATCATTATCATCTTGATCATATGAATAATAATCTTCATCATATGATAATATATTTGTACTAGTACCTTTTAATTTTAATGTTTCAATTTCAGTAAATGATTGCCAATATAATTTTAAACCACTTTCAAATATTAAACTATTTAAATTATTTAATATATCAATATATGGTGAACTAATTGGCATATAATAACCTAAATATGATATTATTGGACATTCATTCATTTGATGATAAATTGGTTTATGATTTATTAAATCATATGTTTGTCGTATTATTAAACGATTATCAACAGCACGTAATATAAATGATATATTTTTTGGCCAATTAATATATTTTTTTTTAATATCATTAATATCATTAAATTGTAATGTTTCAATTAATTTATCATTTAATATTGACCATAATTTTATATCAAATTTTTTATATATATTTTCATAATTTATTTTATTACCAATTGTTATATGAATTTTAAAATTTTTATCCTCTAAATCTAATATATTATTTAGATCGGGTTCAAATTCTGGATTTATAAATATACTTGATAATTTACCAATAAATATTGTTGTTAATAATTTACTAAATATTATCCAAAATATTAATAATGTACGTAATGAATTAATTTTTGTTATATTTTGTATTGAATCGGACATTAATGAACGAAATATTATTTGAAATATTTTTGAATTATTTAAATTATTATTATTATTTACATCATTTATTATTATAATATTATAATTAAATATAATATTTTTAATAATTATAAATATTATTGATACAATAAAATATGATAATATCATTGCTAACCATGTATTTTTATCTAATGTTTGTAATAAATTCATATAACGTGGTAATAAATTTGATTTTGGTATAACAATACATTCTTTAACTCTTTGATATGGATATAAAATTTCAAAATTATTTTTTAATATTAATGATAAACCATCATATGATCTACCATTAAATGTTATATCAGTATTATGTTTAATAAGATCATTTAATACACCATAAAATGTATTATTTTCTAAAAAATAACCTTTATTTAAACCATCTGTTGCTTCAATATATATTGGTGTTGCATTTAATTTTTCTGTTATAATATATGCTAAATTACCATCAACACCATCATAATGATGATTTTTTTGTAATGATAAATTTTCTAATAATGATATATTTGAATTATATTTTATATTTGGATAAAATCTAGCAATATCATGATATATTGATATTTTTAATGGATATTTATTCATATTTTTTAATTTATTAAAAAATAATTCATTTGAATTTATAAAATTTGATTTTTTTTCATTATCATTATTATAACAGGAAGAATTAGAAATATAATCACTATTACTGTTATTATAAAAATTATTATTTATTATTATTGAATTTAAACTGTTATACGATGATAAATCAATTAAATTAATTGTTTTATTTTTGTTATATGAACCGGTAAATGGTTGAAAACCAATAATTTTATATATAAAATGAAAATTATTTAAATTATTATTTTTGGATAATTTTGGATAATTTTTGGATAATGTTGGATAAATAGCAATTGCATTAAGTATTTGATTTTTAAACCAAATATATTTAAAAAATTTTTTTAAAATATTATTTTCATATTTAATATTAATTATATTATTTGTTATATTATTAAAATTATTTAAAAATAAAAATATAAATTTATAATAAAATTTATTTGGAAATTTTATATGAAATTTTTTTACCGCTTTTATAGCTGATTTTATATCAAATTTATCGATAAGAATAATATGTATTGCAGTTGAATGATAATTATATTTACTATTATTATATAATGTTATACGTATATTATTATTAACTAATACAATTACTGATAAATTTTTATTTAAACATTTTAAAATTAATTCTTTTGATTTATTTATTATAAAATTTATATTATAATTTTGATTTTTTAAATTATTATTATTATTTAATGAGAATTTTTTGATTTCATTATGAAAATAATAATTATAATATGATTGTGATGATTCAATAATATGTATATAATTAACATAAGCATTTAAATCATTACATATATTACAAATATTATCAATAGTTTCAATTAATTTTTCATTAATACTGTCCTGCCAATAAATATTATCATTTTGTATAAATTTTAAATCATTATGATAATAATGATTATATTGATGATTATTATTATTATCATTATTATTGTTATTATTATTATTACTACTGTTATGATAATTATTATTATGATATCTTTCATTTTCAAAATAATAATAATTATTATTCAAGCTTGAGTAAATATTTTTTATAAATATTGCGGAGAAAATAATAATTATTCTGTTGGCGATAATAAAGTCAATTGACATCATTTTTGTTTTTTTGCTTTTATTTACAGTTGCCAATGTACCATAAACTCAAAAAAAAAAACGCTTATCCTTATTTTTTTATTTTTTTTTTAACAAGTTTTATTTTTTATTGAATAATGCAGTTTAAAAGTATTATTGTAGCGTGTTATAGCAATAAAATATTATTAATAATAAAAATAATATTGGTTCTTTGTTATTGTTGGTTCAACCTTTCTGACTTTAATAGTGTTCAAAGTTAACTGGACATTTTGTTTTTATATTATACTTATATAGAGGAGATAATTTAAAATTCGGTCTGTACAAGTGTTAGAAAAGACAAAATTTCGAAAATATTATGAAAAATTTTTGATTATTGTGCTCTTACAGACTAAGAATTGAATGTGGAAAAGTCGGAGCGAAAGGATCGAAATTTTGTAAATTGTAGATTGTAGAAAATCTTGTAAGTTTCAATTAAAGAGATGGGGTCCAAATCAATTTGTTGGAGTAGAAGACGAAGAGTCTGAGTAAAAAGATGGTAGTCAAGAAATCTAAGTCGAACAATCGGAATCGAAATATCAGAGTTGAGGAATCAGATTCAAAGAGCCAGAATCGAAGCTAACCATTTTAAGTGAAGAAGTCCGAACTGCAGAAAAAAATTACAAAGATTGCTGCTGACCCGCTTATCTAAAATTTGGAGTATTATTATAGTTGGAAACCAATTAAATATGAAATTCCCGTCCAAATGCCAAAGTTCAGGCATGGCCGAAGTTCATTCTGAATTTATGGTCGGAAAAGCATATAAATTAAACTTGAGGCTATAAACTGTCTTAAAATTAATCGATTTTAATTTTTTATTTTTTTATTTTTTTTTATATAGAATAATCCTTACACTTCTAAGCTAGTTTTATTCACATTGAAATGAAAACTGAGGTAAATTTTTAATTCTTTAGACAGAGGTAAAGTTATTATGACTTTAAAAAAATTGCATATATTAAGGGGCTACTAAGTAAAAATCCACAATAATAGTAAATTATTTTTCGAAATTCGAAATTTTTAATTTTAATTATACGACCATGAATTTGGCATCAAACTCTATTTTTTTTTCTTATTAGGTTATTGTTAAAACAATTTAAACAAATTTAACATTTTTCTTCTCTTTCTTTTCACTAAGTAAATTTCAATTAATTGGAACAGAATCGGGAGTAAACAAAATACAAAAAAAAAAAATAATACTTAATTAAGAATGATATCGTTACTAATTGGCCATATGGTGCAATAAAATATTCTCTACTATTTTTTATATAATATAATGAGTAAATATTATTTAAAATATTGAGTAGAGTAATGAAGAACAAAAATATTATTATTATTTTATTATAATATTTTTTAATTAAAATTTAAATACAAAAACATTTTGTCCTTTTATATTTTTTATTCTACTTAAATATACAATAATTTTTTAATGAAAAAAAATAGAATGACACTGCAATGCGTTTTCACAAGAATAATAATAATATTGAATATTTAAGAATTTTTTTGTGTTCCACAAAGCAAGCAGTTTAACGCACTAGTTTTAAAGTTCAATAGCTTAAGAGTTATATTTTCTGCAGCGGATTTAAAAACAAGCATTATTAAGCTAAGGATGAATTTTTCTTAATTGACAAGAATAACAATATAATAAAGGTTTTTAATCCTGCTTAAAGAAAATTTAAAAAAAAATTGCATACTTTTAGGGGGATTAATTTTAAAAAGATGATAATTTCAAATATTGTGTTATAAAATAACCAAATTAAAGAACAGGCAACTTGTATGGGAGTTGTTTTTGTTCCTTATTTTTCTTGTCATGTAAATAAACCAAATAATTTTGTCGCTCTCATATACTAATGCACTGTAATCCCAACTAAACATTCCTTTTCCTTCCTCATTAATAATGCTGATTGATTATTTTCACTAATCATTCGAAAATCTGATAGCCGCATTTTGTCTGTCCAAAAAATAATTATTGTTTCGGTTTCCATATTATTATTTTCGATTTGTATAACAGTTAATGATTAGCCAAAGCAATTTCTTTGATCCCATTAGTTTTTACATAGCTTCTACCACTTTATAATTTTTTCTACAATATTTAATTTTACCAATTTAACATCATTAATTTTTTTTCTTAAATTTTACTTTTATAACACAGAATAGAGAAAACAATTTTCATAGTAATAAATTTTCTTTTATCTACTCTTCCTAGAATAGAATATCAAATTATAAAATAGTTCATCTCTCATTTTCTTATCATCTTCTTAGTCGTCTTTTTTTCTCTCGTTTTTGTTTTTCTTAATTAAACGCTCATTTTTAACTCTTTTTGATTTGTGAGTATTTTATGGTAGAATAGCGGCGAGCGATTATCTTTTTCCTTATCAAAAAAAAGAATGAAAAAAATTTTTTAAAACTTTAATGTTGGTTTAACATCATGTAATTTATCATAAAATTGCAATGAGTCTACTGTATAACATAATAATATGTAATGATAAATTATGATAGGGAAAGAGAAAAAGAGAAAGAGATATAGGTATATAGTATAGAAGGAGAAGCAAGGAAATCGTACATAATATTAGAGATGTTTTAGAATTTTAAAATTGAACATTTTAATAATTTTTGAATTAAAAATTACAGTTCTAGTAAAAATTATGACCCATAAATAATTAAATAATTAAATCGTAATGTTAAATTTTAATACAAAAATTATGCAAAATTTTTGTGAATTAGAGATATAAGCTGGCTATAAGACAACTGAGATTATTTTGTCGTATTAGTACAGAAATATCAATACGAATACAATAGAAATCAAGCACAATATGCAAAGAGCATGAGAATTTCTAGTTTTCTCAATATCGTGAAATTTACCGATAATATACAACCCCATAATATATTCGATTTGTATAACAGTTGATGATTAGTCAGAGCATTCCAATTACATTTCAAACGGTTTTCTCACAAATTTCGGCATTCAAATTTAAATATTCGAATCCATACATTTTTTCTAGAAATTGTAATAACAATAAAAATTTATTGAAATTTTCTTAATTTTAAATCACAAACCATGTTGTTAACCGGATCAAAATACTATCCAAAATTTTTGTGTCATCTATTTTGCAATATAATTATATATAGTTATTGTTTTTTAAATGATTTCCTGTAGTGCACATAAAACATCCTTGTAATACTATTAAAATATAACTAGTACTTTTTTCACAAATAATTCTCTTCTATTGCTTGGATTAAGAACAGAAAAAAAAAACACATTATAAATGAACAAGTTATAACATCAAAGAACACAATATGTAGAGGAACACAGTTTGAAATAAAGTTAATAATCATGTTAACAGGATATTAGCCCTCTAATACAGTTAAAGTAATATAAGCCCTCTCATAATATTATCATTAAATACACAACACTAGTAATATTATAATTTAATATTTGCGTTAGAAAGTAATAGATTTTGAGTTGAAAATTAAAATTTTTTTAAAATATTAAAAATGTTTTCTATATTACCATCAAAGTTTGACAAAATTATTTTTTAATACATAAGGTTGATGTGGCTAAATTTGAAGTAATGAACTTTTATTTTGATTAAAAATCATGTTCTTCTAAAATGATAGTGGTAATATTAATTCAAAATTATATTATGTTACTTAGTTGCTTAATTTTTAGTATATACAAGTAAAATTTAAGGTCGGAAAATTAAAAAATTAACAATATTATAGGATTATAAAGGTT